GGGGGGGGGGGGGGGGGGGGGGCGCCAGGGTTGGGTTTACATTGGGCCTCAGTGGTGTGAAGGGGTGGCTGGGATGGCAATGAAGCGGGTGGCAGGGGATATGGGGGAAGGACAAAGTTGGACTGCAGGTATGGGACTTGAAAGTCAGAAAAGGGTCTCCTTTGCCGTCTAGGTTCCATGACTCTCCATGGTTTCCATGTGATGTTGGATGAGGAGTCCAGTTCGGAGAATATTCTGTTAGGATCTTGCTGGATCTGCACGTAGGAATCTTAATTAAATTGCTTGCCTGGCAAGGGGGTTTTATTCCTCTAGAAGGTCCCGTTTCATCGCCTTCCATGCTTCCCGGGTCCTTGTCCTGATCTGTTCCTCAATGGCTTGTTGTGCCTGCTGTAGGCCGAATTGGTGCTCTTTTCTTTCAAAAGAACAGCGGGCTCTCCATGCCAACTTGAGGATGTGCAACCGTGTATTTTCTCTTTTGCTATGGTTCCACGTTTCAGGTCAGGGCTACCTATTAGGGCCAGATCCCACTGGCAAAGAGGATTGGAATAAGCCTCCGAATCTGGACGTGTTTGTGGAGAGGTGCAAACAATTGTGATTGAACTGCTTTCTGCATCTCTATGTGGAACATGTTCGGACCTCAACACCCAGCTGCTCATGGTGTTTTAAGATTAGTTTTGGAAATGAATGGAGAAGTGGTGGAACGTGCAGAACCAGATTCAGCCACTTATTCCAATCATCCTTGCCAGTGGGATCTGACCCTTAGTAACAACACAGTTGTGAGAAGGAAAAAAAAAAAAAAAACACTTGTGGGATGCAGCTGAGGAAGGACAGGTTCTGACAGAGGCTGACAACTGTTTTTTTTCTTCCCTGCTGTTCCCTTCATGTTGTATTTTAGTTGTACCGCTTGCAGCAGGCTACTACTTAAACTGCTACAGTCTTCTCCCTAATAGAATGGTCATTTGGCTGAAATTTGGGGTATCTTTCAGTCTAAATTCAGCTATAATGACAGTACGTTGTGTCTGGGGGATGACTGTAGTACACGGCCCCAGCCTTGCAGTCCAAAACTTTGTTGTTGCCACAAGAAAACGAGGCCAGAACGTCAAACGCTGAGCCGCCGTTAATAATAAAATCAATCGACCGTGCCGTTGATAATAAATTCAATCGACGGTCGGGTTTTAGTTTGCCGCATTTACTATAATGACAATAAAAACCGGCCTTAAAGGCCGTCCTGTCCAGATTTGACACGTAATTGAATTGGTTGGGCTTAAAGAATTACCCTTAAAAAAAAAAGAAAAAAAAAAAGAGGTGCCAGGTCCGCTGCCCAGGAGCCCATGTACATGTACGGGTGCAACTTCAGACAGTCTTGTGCAAGGAAGCTCCTGGGTGCGGTCTTCAGAGGGATTCAGCTGGACAACCAACTTGAACCAAGTGACTGAGTGTTGTGGGTAACTGTCATTGTTTTTTTTTTTTTTTTTTTTTTTTTTAAAGTATAATTCTTTAAGCCCAACCAATTCAATTACGTGTCAAATCTGGACAGGACGGCCTTTCAGGCCGATTTTTATTGTCATTATAGTATTACGGGGAACCCCCTAGTAGCCACATCCGTGCTCAAGCCTCCAAAGAGGGAACATGCGGGAGCTGCACCCACCAGCAGGTGCGATACCTGCAACAGCAGGTGGGCGATACCGGCCACCACAACCTGGGCTTTGAAAAAAAAAAAAAAAAAACTACAGTGCAGTCACGTTTTCAGTTCTAAATCCACTTCAGGGATCCCTCAAATACAACACATCCCCACCCAACCCTAAAGCCGGGTTGGATCCATTCACAGTTTTCCTCGCTTTGGAGCAAAATTGGCAAAACCGCGACTGAAAACGCATTTGAAAAATTAAAACTGTGAAAACCTTGACTGCACCCTAGTTTTTCCTTTTAACAATATATATATGAGTCGGTGAAGCTCCGACGAAACAGTTTGTCACACCCCCTCGTTTGTTGTCCTCTTCTCTCTCTCTGCCTACGGTTTACCGGGCAGTTCTGTATATGTCACAGCCCCTCGTTTGTTGTCCTCTTCTCCCTCTCTGCCTACGGTTTACCGGGCAGTTCTGTTTGTGACGATATATATATAGATATATAGATATAGATATATATTCTCCCTGATAGTGTAAGGTATGAAACTGACAATACTCATTCACCTTTTTCAAGAGGAGGGAGGCCGGACCCATTTTCCAGCAGGTGACTCGACCCCACCAATGGGAAGGAGTCATCCACAAGAGTTGGCAGGGGGTAGATGCAATTTTGGATGATCAGGGCCCTAGTCCCACTAGCAAAGAGGATCGGATCGAATGCCTGAATCTGGACGTGTTTGTGAACAGGTGCAGGAAATCGAGATTGAACTGCTTTTCTGCCTCTCTGCGTAAAAGACATCCAGATTCAGGCATTCGATCCGATCCTCTTCGCTAGTGGGACCTCGGGCCAGGGGACATTACCATGTAGTGCTGGTCGTTTCTTTTTTCTTTGTGGCTTCTTTTTGACATGGGATTTGTGGTGTGCGGCGGTCCAGTTTTCCAGTTTTTGGGATTGGCCGGTGATGCCTCGCCCCTAAACAGAACGGCAGAATCAGATCCTCTGTAAGGAACGCCAGGCCTGATTCCTGGCATTGCAACGATTCACAAGGTTTTGCAAAAAAAAAAAAAAAAAAAAAAAAAAAAAAAAAAAAGGAAGAAGAAAGCCTGGACCTCGCTGGTTCACTTACCACCATGCACCACGGGACTGAAGGACTTCACAGGATGTTAAAAAAGAACGGGAAAAAAACAAACCAAAAGGGATAACTTTCGGGCTCTTTTTTTT